ATAAATGTAAGTATACAGTTATAAAGTGTACAGGTAGTGGGGCCGGGTGTGTTGGCACAGTTGTTAGTCCCAGCTATTTGGGAAGCTGAGCTAGGAGGATCGCTTGAGCCCAGGAGCTCGAGGCCAGCCTGGGCAACATGGTGAGACTTCCTATCTCTAATTAAAAAAAAAAATACAAATTAGAAAATTTAGAGAACTCTGAAAGTCTCATACCTATAATTTTTTTTTTTTTCATTAAACAAGCGAGGCTTTGGCTCGGTGCTGATAGCACAGTGGTTACAGCACCAGCCACACACACCAAGGGTGGCAGGTTTGAACCCAGCCCAAGCCAGCTAAACAACTGCAACCAAAAAATAGCCCAGCGCCTGTAGTCCCACCTACTTGGGAGGCTGAGGCAAAAGAATCACCTAAGCCCAAGAGCTAGAGATCGCTGTGAGCTATGATGCTACAGTACTCTATCCAGAGTGACATGGTGAGACTCTGTCTCAAAAAAAAAAAAAAAAATACAGAGTTACCATTTTGGGTGGTGCCTATGGCTCAAAGGAGTAGGGCGCCGGCCCGTGTGCTGGAGGTGGTGGGTTCAAAGCCAGCCCAGCCAAAAACTGCAAAAAACAAAAAACCGAGGCTTTAAGCCATTTAGAAACCCACAACATTCTAAGACGTGAAACAGATAAACCCCAGGAGAAGGGAGCTGGCTTTCTCTCTGCCTCACATAGAATAGGGTTCTTAGGAAAGATGAAGGGAAGAGTCAAACAGTTTAGAAAGTGATTAGACAACAGAAGAGGTTAACAGTGCCTTCATTTGGATCTCGTAGGGTAGGGATGACGTCATCTTGGGTGTAGCTAAGTGGCTTTTCTCAGCCTTCAGGCATTTAAAATGAAAGATAACAAGCAAGTAGTCTGTTTAAAAACATCTCACTACTTACAGTACTTCAATGTGGTCCAGATCACTTTATGTAAGTTGGTTAGGACCTGGCTTATCCTTGCTGATAAGGAAAAGACTTCCATTATCTCCCAGTGCTCTGGACTGGGGATGAGCAGGCTTTACATGGAGCTTAGCCACGTGGAAGCAGGGCCAGTGGACGGTGAAGATGGAAAGTCCCGGAGCCCAGAGGAGAAGGTTTCCTGCAGAACTGACGATCTCTAAGATCCCCATAGGTTCTTAAGTTGCATAATTGCTCTATATTTTACATTTTCAAAAGTTTGAGCGCACAGACCTGTGTTCTTGTCTTGGGAGAGAAGTGAAGAGGAGACCCTGGGTTCATGTCGGGAAAAAGGCTGCCGCTTCCAGCTTGGCACTTGTAGCACAGCCGCTAGGGCACCAGCTGCATACACCAGAGCTGGTGGCTTCGAACCCAGCCCAGGACTGCCAAACAACAGTGACAACTACAACCAAAAAGTAGCTAGGCATTGTGGCGGGCGCCTGTAGTCCCAGCTACTTGGGAGGCTGAGGCAAGAGAATCACTTAAGCCCAAGAGTTTGAAGTTGCTGTGAGCTGTGATGCCATGGAACTCTACTGAGTGCAACAAAGTGAGATTCTGTCTCAAAAAAAAAAAAAAAAAAAGAAAGAAAGAAAGGCTGTCACTTCTTCCTGTGGTGGAGTCAGGTTTCCCTGGAACCTAATTCACGCATGAGTGGGTAACCTGCAGCCTTCTAGTCCATAAGTGCAGCCTTTTAGGTGAATCCAAAGTTTGCAGAACAAACCCTTTTATTAAAAGGGAGGCAGCAGAGAGAGATATAGCATTTTTTGCCTCCTTTGGTGCTTGAAAAGAAGAATCTGATACAAGAAGGCCGCAGGTCCCTGCCCCTGGGACCTGTTCTGCTGGTGGCCTCCCCACGGGACACCCTCAGATGCAGCATGGTGGATGCGGTTGGGTGTGGCAGGTGACAGGTCCATGATCCTCTCAGTGTTTTTCCTCTTGTTGGCCTTGTTCCCACTGGAAGATGTCTGAGGTACACTCCTGGACAGGCTAGGCACCCACCCAGAGACTGGCTGGTGGAACGTCATGTTCTGGCCTGGAGCAGGGTCAGTGGTACGTGTCCCTGTGTTGTGTCAGGCCAGCTCTGCCCTGTTCACAGTGCTCAGGTGGCAGGGAGAGGCAGTCTGCCCTGGAGCACGTGGGCCTGTCTGTGGAGGTGTGACTTGGACAGAATGTGGGCAAGAGGAGAGTACCTGAGTTTCCCGACCAAGCTGCCCGCCTGTCAGCCTTTTATCTTGGTGAAAGTGACCCCTGCACCCTGTCTTTGTTTTGCTGTCTTGAGTTTTGAAAAAATTTGTTCTTTTCCTACCAGGGAGTTTAGACACTTCTGCTAATTACTAATCCTTTCAGGAAGGGGAAACAGCCTTGGAGAATTTTCCAGGCCCCATTCTTTCATCTCCATTGTTATAAAGAGCAAAATTAAGGCTGTAGCTGTTGATATTAAACTCAGTTTCTAGAGAGTCCATTGACCCTGGAGATGTCTTTAGATCAGTGTGCTGTGTAAGGTTTGTGTTGAACATGCTGTCATCTCTCTGTGCAGAGCGCTCTGTTCATGCTTTCCCATGATTTGCCTGGTGGCAGAGGCTTTGCATCTAATAAATAACCCTGAGTAAAGAATAATGGAGGCTGGCTTTAGGCCGCTCAACACTTGTTATGGTCACCTTGCAAGAGAGAACCGTATAGGAAAGAGGAAGGGCTTCTCAGAGAGCTGAGAGGGGTTCTGCTGCCCTTTAGCTGAAGCAGATCAGAGTCTGCAGGGGAGAGTGAGAGGAAGCGGCCCAGAGTACCGCACTTAGACAAAGCCCGGGCCTTCACAGGGGCTTCTCCAGAACTGCCATCTGCTGATTTATTTGGATCTGCAACTCACTTTGAAAACACGGCTTGGGAGGGGAGCCAGCCCCTGTGAATCCAAGCCTGTCCCTGTGTCCTCCTGGAGGTGGATTTGGTGTGGGTATTCTGGAGGGCCAGCACTGCCTGGGGTAGGGGGTGGGGGCCTGGCCTGCAGGACGCATCTGCATTTCCTCAGGCTGCCCCAGGTCCTCCTCCAGGGGGTGCTCTGACTCCGCCATCTTAAGGGAAAAACGAAGTCCACACATCTGAGGAAATCATGCAAAAGAAGTTGCAAAAAACCCCAAATAATAAAACATGTCACAGTCCCCAAGTCCAGAGCCGGTGACAGAGCAGGGCCCTCACAGTGCCTTGGGGCAGGAGGCTCCAGAAGTCTTTGCAGAGCCTAGATGTGTGCATTAGACCTGGATGGTAAATTAAAGATACTGCACGCCTCTAATCCAGGCCCAGTATTTCATGCCTCAGTACCATCCCTTACAAGTGAGACAGTGAAGCTCTTGGGAGATGAGCTGTTAAACTTCTTCCCCCAGTGTTAGGTAGGAGTTAGAAGAGTTTAAACAACGACAGCTTTGAAAAGACACATCTACAGTTGAAGGCAAAGTGAAAACATCACATTCGTATTTTTAACCTGTCCGGTTTTTATAAGACCTCTAGGGGAGAACTCCAAAGTATGGGGAATAAACAGGCCGTGTGTGTAAGTAGGAAAGAGGAAACTAGTGTGTTTGAGCCTCAGCTCGTCGTATTTCTCAGGCTGGGTCTCAGCATGTTTCACCCTTGCCGTGAACCCTGCCTGCTGAGGCCTCTTCTGTGGGAGGGACAGGTGCTCTGTGCCTTGGGTAAATCAGTTCGAGTGTCACGTAAATGAAGTCCAAGGTGATGAGAAGTCAGCTGGGGGCCGGTGCTGCTGTGTGTTTCTGTGATTTGAAGGATGCTGGAATTTGGGTAGTAATTTAAAAGCTGTGTGCTCCAATGATCAAAATCGGCCCTGCCTCCTGGAGTGAAGAGCGCCTGAGGCCGTGTGGACACCGGTCCCAACAGCACAGTCAGCTGGGTGCAACCCTCCAGGGTGTGCAGTGCCCTGCTGGTCCTGGACATTGACCTCGGAATCCAGCAGCGCCTCCTGCCTCCTCTGTTGTGCCTGTGGTGGTCTCACGGTGGTTCCCTGTTCCTTTCATCCTTCTGTTTATAAATTGGAGTTCTGCAAGGAACGTTTATTCCCCTTTCCTGTATTTTCCAGTCCTCATTTTTGATGGCTTGGTCAGGCAGCCAGAACCCTTCGGACTCTGAGCAGTGGCCACTCAGCATCCAGTGGCCCTGGGAGCAGTGGGGAACTCCCGGGTGCCTGAGAGGGCTGTGTGTGGTGATGTCCTTGTCACTGCACTGCACTGCTGTGGGGCTGGAGTGCAGCACAGCCCCAGAGCCAGCCAGCAGGCAGCAGGCTGGGGACATGGGCACCTGCTGGCTGCACTGAAGCTCACCAGATGCTGGGAGCTGTACTTAGGGCTTGGCGTGAACGCTTGAAGACATTTCTGGCCTTACTGGGTTGTTGCAGGCGTGCAAGAGACGTGAAGACATAACTTGCCCACCGGCACATGACTGGTGAGAAGCCAAGCTCAGTTCAGACCTCAGTCTGTCCAGTTCCAGGAGACTGTTCCCAGCCACTAGACTGACTTGCACCCCCGTGTTAGTTTCTGTTCACTTGGGGACTAAAGGTCGGGGATAAGAGTACTGTGCTTTGAAAGGGGCCCCCTGTGGCTGGCTGAAGTGAGCGAGCCCATCCTTAGCACTTGTGGTGAGCGTGAGTGAACACCCTCCCTGGGTGGGTTTTTTTTTTTTTTTTGAGACAGAGTCTCACTTTATCGCCCTCAGTAGAGTGTTGTGTCATCATAGCTCACTGCAATATCCAGCTCTTGAGCTTAGGTGATTCTCTTGCCTCAGCCTCTGGAGTAGCTGGGACTACAGGCACCAGCCACAACGCCTGGCTATTTTTTTGTTGCAGTTTAGCCAGGGTGGAGTTCGAACCTGCCACCCTTGGTATATGGGGCTGATGCCCTAATCACTGAGCCATAGGTGCCGTCCTCTCACTGAGTGTTTTGTGACTCCCTTTGTCGCCATCATCTTCCTAACGTGGGGCTGGAAGGAGAAATCTGAGATTCTTTCTTTTCCTCCTCAGCGCATTTACTATCTTTCCCTGGAATTCTACATGGGCCGCACTCTGCAGAACACCATGGTGAACCTGGGGCTGCAGAACGCTTGTGACGAAGCTATTTATCAGGTACGGGGTGCTCAGGGGCGTGGGGGTTTACTCTGCGCTGTCTAGGACTGTGCCCGCGCTCCCCTCTTGGAGGACAGTGGGGTGTCCGTGGGGAGAGAGCAGGATCAGTGGGAGGAGGGCACGCCACTTGTAAGCACTGGGTTGGATGCTACGCCCAGGTGTGGAAGTTTCTAGAAGCCTTCGCACCTCCACCCCTGGGGCAGACTGAGAATACTAAACCACAAAAGTGGCTGGTATTAGCCCATTTCCACTCACTTTTCACACCTCTGGGTTCTTTCCCCAACCCCTAAGATAATCTGTGGAGCTTATCCCACCACAGAATTGCCCTGACAGAATAAAAACTGATTTTCCTTAGTTCTTCATTGGTTGTTCACATTGGACTTAATCCTCTCGCTGTCCTCTGCAGTATGGGAATGGTGCTGTGCTGGTGCTGGGTCTGATCTGTCGCTCAGTCTGATCTATCTACTCCCACGCGGAGGGTCTGGGCAGAGCTGTCCCTGCACCATCTGCTTCTGTGGGGTTTGGGTTTTGCTGGGAGCAAGAGTGGCTCAGCCAGATGAGACAACAAGTATCTCTCCTCAAACAGGAATCTATGCTCAAAAGTTACCTAATGAGACAGAAGTTACCCCAGCAGGTGGTCTGTCTGCTGTGTGTTAGTGCAGGATGTGTCAGTATGGAGCTTGGTGCACACACTGTCCCAGTACTTTCTGCTTTCTGTGGATTTCACAGTTGTATGCATAGAACAAATGTTAATTATTATTTTATTATTATTTTTTTTTTTGGAGATAAAGTCTCACTGTGTCGTACTTGGTAGAGTGCTATGGCATCACAGCTCATGGCAATCTCAAACCCTTGGGCTTAAGCGATTCTCTTGCCTCAGGCTCCTAAGTAGCTGGGACTACAGGTGCCCACTACAACGCCCCGCTATTTTTTATTGCAGTTGTCATTGTTTAGCTGGCCTGGGCTTGGTTCAAACTTGCCACCCTCGGTATATATGGCTAGCACCATAACCACTGTGCTACAGGTGCTGAGCCCCAGATGTTAATTTCTGAAACTTTTTTTTCATATAGTTCTTAACATATGGTAATGATTTTAGGGGATGTTTATACCACAAATATGCAATATGTTTATAGTTTTTATTGTATAGTGTGTTAATTATAGAAACTTAGAAAATACAAGTAAGAATGTATACTTTAAATTTTATACAGTTTTTTTGGCTCAGCACCCCATAGCTGAGTGGTTAGGGGACCAGCCATATACACCGAGGATGGTGGGTTCGAGCCTAGCCTGGGCCTGCTAAACAACAATGACAACTACAACCAAAAAATGGCTGGGTGTTGTGCCAGGTACCTATAGTCCCAGCTACTTGGGAGGCTGAGGCAAGAGAATTGCTTAAACCCAAGAGTTAGAGGTTGCTGTGAGCTGTGACGCCATGGCACTGTACCGTGGGTAATGTAGTGAATCTCTGTCTCAAAAAAAAAAAAAAATCTAAGATCTGAAAATGAAGAGGCATCCTGTGTTACTGGCTTGGCTGACTGGATGTTACTAAGGTGTTGGTACTTCCCGGGTTGATCTGCAGATTCAATATAATCCCTATTTGGCTTCCTTGTAGAGATTGACAAACTCACCCTAAAATCAATATGGCAATGCAAGAGACCTGGAATAGTCCAAAACATTTTGAAAAAGAGCAAAGTTGGAGGACTCACACTTCCCAGTTTCAAAACTTGCTACAAAGTGGCCGACACCAAGATTGCAGCCTGGTTCATAAAGACCAGTGGAAGAGAATTGAGAGTCCAGAAATAAATCCTCAGATTTGTGTTCAATTGCTTTTTCTTTTCAATTAAAAAAACTGTGGCAAAATACACATAACATAAAAAGAAAATTACAAACGTAACCATTTTTAAAGGTACAGGATGGTGGCGGTAAGTACATTTATATTGTTCTGCAGCCACCTCTGCCACCCATCTTAGACCTGGTGTCTGCCCCAACCGAAACTCTGTACCCACTAAATTGTAACTCCCCATTCCCTGCCCCCCTCTGCCTCTGACAGCCCTCATTCTACTTTGTGGTTTTCTTTTTCTTTTTTTTCAGACAGTCTCATTTTGTCACCCTTGTTAGAGTACTATGGCATGTTAGCTCACAGCAACTGGGAACTCTTAGGCTCAAGTGATCCTTCTGCCTCAGCCTCCCAAGTAGCTGGGACTATAGGCACCCACCACATGCCTGGCTATTTTTAGAGACAGGGTCTCACTCTGGCTCAGGCTGTCCTCGAACCTATGGGTTCAGACAATCCACCCTCATTGGCCTCCTAGAGTGCTGGGATTATAGGTGTGAGGCAACGTACCTGGCACTTAGGAGGTTTTAACTACTGGAAACTTGGGCAGCACTTGTGGCTCAAGGAGTAGGGCGCCAGCCCCATATACCAGAGTTGGTGGGTTCAAACCTCAGCCCTGGCCAAAAACTGCAAAAAAAAAAAAATGTAGAAATTAACTACTGTCATTTCCATGGACCGATTTTGATACCGGACAAAGTGGCGCCCCAGCCAGCTCAGCTGAGCAGGGCTGGGGGAACTGTAGCCTCTGTCTTGGCTGTGGCAGCCAGCAGAGGAACTGGCGGGCTGGAGCAAGCGGAGAGAGCTTTCCTCTCCCACCAGAGGCTCCAGTAGCAAAAAAGACTCGACTGGGCAGGGGAAAACACTGGCGATTCCTCCAGTGCATCTCTAATTGGTCCATTTTCAATCCTGCTCCTGATTGGTCTATTTTCAGACCAATCAGCTCAGCTTTCAGCTCATTGGACAACTGCCCCTATATAAACCCCTGAGTAGCGAGCCTATGGGCAGATCGTCACAGACCTTCCAGGGAGAGAGAGCAGGGGAGGGAAGACCTCAGCAGATCATCGAAGATCATCCAGGGAGAGAGAGAGCAGAAGAGGAAGAGCTGTAACACTTGGATCCTGCTCTGCAAGGAAGTTTGGCTCTTTGTAAGAGCTGTGACAGTTATACTATGCCCTGCAAGGAGGTTTGGCTCTTTGTAAGAGCTGTGACACTGGTATAAAACCTATCTTATCCTGCTCTGCAAGGTTTGGCTCTTTGTAAGAGCTATAATACCTGTTAAATAAAACCTAACTTCCATCCTGTGGTCTGTCAATTCATTCATTGAATTGTCAAGACCAAGAGCCTGGAAATTCAATATCAAAAGTCTGGTATTGATTTAACATTGGATTTTTAAGTCTAAGCTAAGCAGATTCTTAACTTTAGCTTTTGGCAGAAGCTTACAAGACTTAAACATCTTTCAGCCTATCATCTGAGGGACAATGTTAAGTAATATTAAGGTGCTGCATCTGTTTTTGTTTGCAGTTGGGATTGGACTTGGAAGAGCTGGAGGAGATAGAAGAAGATGCTGGCCTTGGCAATGGGGGCCTGGGCAGGCTGGCAGGTAACTGCACCTGTCTGGGACAAGCTCTGCTGGCCTGTGGGCTGGGTTGGTGGCTGTGTGGTGAGGCCAGAGTCAGATGTGTTCCTGAGGCTAAATTGACTTACCTCAGCATGGACAGGCCCATGTGTTCTTTACATTGAATCTTTAAGGAACACAAGTTCTCTGTCATACACAAGGGCGCTTCATAATTATCATGAAGATTAGATTTGCCTGCATTGGATGAGCTGGTGCTGGGAGGGGTTCCTAACAAGCTGACTACTTTCTAGGGTCCAAAGGTCAGTAAGTAGGAGAAAGATAGGGAGAGGAACATGACTCAAGAGCATAGCCTTGCTTATGGGCTGGATTCCTCGAGCTGGCACAGTCACCAGACCGCCCAGGAGCAGTGGAGCCACTGCCCTCAGCCACTACCCCCTCACATCACTGCGTTCGAGAACACATCTGTTTTTTTTTTTTTTTTTAACATCTGTTTTGTTACTGTTTATTGTTTTAAGTATTCTTACTGGCCTTTATGGAGAGAGAGAACAGTAGAAATAATGGCCCCAGTGAGATTTGATTTCACTGTATAGCCTGGCCCCTGGCTCTCTTTTGAGAGTTATCATTTTGTAAAGGGAGTTCATGCCCTAAAATTTATCCATGGGGAGCAAGTGTTCTTAGGTTTTCAAATTTTAAGTACTCCAGAATTATAAATGCAACAAGTTTTTCTCACACAAACCAGCATGTGAATCTATGTTAAAAAATTCAGGCTGGGCGCAGTGGTGCACCCCTATAATCCTAGCACTTTGGAAGGCCACAGTAGGAGGATCATGTGAGACCAGGAGTTCAACAAAGTAAGATCCGTCTCTACAAAAAAATTTAAAAGTTAGCCGAGTATGGTTGTGCACACTTGCAGTCCCACCTACTTGAGAGGCTGAAGTGGGATGAGTGCTTGAGCCCTAGAGTTCAAGGCTACAGTGAGCCATGATGACAGAACTGCCCTGCAGCCTGGGCAGCACAGTGAGAACCTGTCTCAGTAAAGAAGTGAAAGGAAAATTTCACCCACCTCTGGATGTGAAAGGCAGTGTGCCCTCCACGGGCTCCTCAAACTCAGGGCTGTGCTGTGGTTCCCAAAGTGTACACTGAGCCCAGGCCTGCCAGGCCACGGCCCCATTCTCTCCCTGAGGCCGTCTTGGAGGCTGCAGAGCAGGAAGCTTTGTGTCCTTGGTGGCCCTGTAGGACAGTGAGCCGTGAGGGTCTTTAGCTCCCTCCACACCCCCAGCTCTGTGACATGCACCTGATTTCTGTCGTCTATCTATTTTGGCCCTTCTCATTAAGCCAGGCTCTTAAACTCAAGGGAAGCCCAAGGCTCTTGCCCACCTGAGGGTGGCCAGTTCCCCCCACTTACCTCAGGGCTGGTGCCTGCCCTGGCCTTTGAGACTTGCATCCATTTGGGGTGTCCTGGGCCCTTCGACTTCCAGTCACAGTTCCTGGCCTTAACCTCAGCAAGCCTGGGCCAGGGAGGCTGCTGGCTCCTCTAGCCTCCCGAGAACAGCTGGGCTGCACTGACTCTTGTGGCCCCATGGGTCTCTTGCCACCTAAAGAGCGAATCCCCAGAATAGGAGCTGGGCCTCACATCTGTGGGTCTCCCTCAGTGAAGCACCTGGCAGGTGTCTGCGTGCGTAATGGGCTGGCATCTGGTTTGTTTATTTCCGCCCTATGGATGGGTGTCTTTCTCAATCCCAAGTCTAACAAGGTTGCTTTCTGGTCTTTATTGAGGACACGGTCCTTGCTTCAGTTTCCAGCTGCTCCAGCCCTTCTTGGGGACCCTGGCAAGCTAGAGCTCGGGGGTCTGGGTAGTTGTGGGGGGCACAGTACGTGGCACTGGTCACACATGGGGTGGGCTTTGCTGTGTAGTGTGTGGTGTGGAGTAGTGTGTGCTGTGTAGTGTGTGGTATGGAGTAGTGTGTGGTGTGTCCCTGCATTGGAACTGGTCGGATTTGGGTAGGATCTGCAGAGGTTGGGGAGGGGCCCCAAACGTCACCTGTTCTCCATGGGACTCTCCCTTCCCCACCCTCCCGCACCTGTGTGGCCCCCGTGGTTAGACTTCTGAGTCCTGCCACATGCCCTGTGGGCCACATCCCAGCTGGCCTGCTGACTGACTGATCTGTGATTGGATATTTTAGCCTGTTTCCTCGACTCCATGGCCACCTTGGGCCTGGCAGCTTACGGCTATGGAATCCGCTATGAATTTGGGATTTTTAACCAGAAGATTGTCAACGGCTGGCAGGTGGGTGAGATTTGGTTTCTTCACTGATTTCCAGTTATCATTGGCACAAGAAAGTAGTACCACTTCAGTTTGGCTCTTATACTTGAGCTCCTTGGGAGACTGCAGGCTGAGCAGCAGCCCCACCAAGCCTGGAGAGCTTGGGTCCTGCGTGAGCTCCTCTTAGTCTGCCTCTGTGTGGGGACTGGTGGGGACTGTTAGTCAGGGCAGGGCTGAGCTGTCTGCAGTGAGGTGGTGAGGGCTCCACAGGCTGCTTTTCTGACTGTGCTGAGCAAGAGGAACAGGCAGGAATAAAGGGCATGGTGCTCTCAGGAATCTGCCTTGGTCGGATGTTGACCTTGAATTGCTAGAAAAGCAATTATTGTGGATTTTTCTCCTTCTGCCTTTGGTCCCTGACCAGTGAGGGGTTGGCATCCTTGGGGTTAGAAGCTGCAAAATACAAAGTACAGTGGCCCTTGGGAAGAATAAGCCTCAATTTCAAAGCATCAGTATACAGCCAAGCAAGGTGGTGAGGACCGTGTGAGTGGAGAGAGTGATCTTGGAAAGGCAGCCCCTCCTTCCAGGCCCTGCCCTCCCCTCCTACAGCTCTGCAGACTAGAAGTCTGATATTCCATCTGTTTATTTAACATCATTCAGGGCCTAAAAGTCACAGATAAAGCAGGCTGGGGCTAGTTTCAGAAGACGTATGGTATCAGAGCAGTGCAGTCCCAGAGTGGTGGCATTTGGGCAGCAGAGTCTGTTCAGTTGCTGGATATCACCATCAGCGTCTGTAGGATTTACGGATGTCGCTGTGTAGAATTTAACATAACAGACACGTATGAGCTGTCACAGTGGTTGATGCTGCTGTGTCTAGTGTAGTGGTTCTTAATCTTCCTAGTGCTGCGAGCCTTTAATACAGTTCCTGTGGTTCACGACCCACAGGTTGAGAACCACTGGTCTAGTGGGAATGTGTACTGATGTCTGCCCCTTACTGTGAAATGTACCTGAAGTTAGTGATTGGTGGGTGGAGACGTGTCACTGTAGGCCTGGGACTAAGCGTGAGTCCCAGCAGTCTGCATATCTCCGCATGTTTGAGAATGCTCTTCGTAACATGTTGGCAAAGAAGCCTAAAGGGAAAACTTAAAAACTGATTTGCATCCATTGCTCAGTTCATAAAAATGCTCATTCCAAACCTTCCAACAAAAGGTGCCTTTCCTAGGTGCCCTCCCAGGCAGTCCCCAGCCTGCTGGCGCTGTTTCTGCCAGGCTGGCACTCATGCCCCAACCCACCCCGACTCCACTCCTTCGTGGCCCATCAGGTGTAACGTGTGGATTCTAGGCAGGAGCAGGGGCCCTGCTATGCCTAGTTGGCATCATGGGTGTGAGGAAGAAGGTGCTGGAGGTTTCTGTTTCCCCACCCAGACGATTTTCCTTCTTCAGTACTCATTCCTGCAACTGTTGCCATCTTGTGTGAGTTTAAGGCAATGAGTGGGTGTGAATCCTCCCCTTCTCCCAGCCTGCATTCTTGGAGACTGATTAGGGGAAATGGTTTTTACTTGGCTTTAGCTATGGCAGAAATAAACACAGGCTATGGCTGGCCAGTGACCCATGGCTGGCACCCAGGCGGAGGGGATAGGAAGTGCAGGCCACTGTGGGAGGTGCCTGCTGCCTCTTATGTTCGAGAAGCTGCTGCTGGCAGATGACTTTGGGAATTACTGTGCAGAAGACGGCTGGGCTGTGGTGTTGGGGAGACTCACAGCAGACGAGGAAATGCCACCAGGAAGTGGAAAGGCAGATGCGGACAGGTCTTGTGGGCTCTGGGGAGGTGCGTGGAAGCCCTGGCATCTCCTGAGAGCAGAGCCCAGACTCTTGCTGGTGCCTTTTCACTGCTGGGTCAGACCCATTAAAAGAAAATCCCTCAAAGACTCATACTAGGCTGCTTGTTTAATCTGAAGAAGCACTTGATTTCACCTCCATGATAGCTGATGAGACCACAGGACCCTGCGTGTGCCGCTGTGCCAGTCAGCTTGCTGTGCTGCCTGCGGCCCTACCACATGTTCCTGCTCAAATGCAGTCCAGGCTCCTGCTTGGCCAGGGGATATTCGTGGTTTTACTTATGGGAATGGTTTTGCATATTTACTGGTCTTGGGTGCCACTGGGTAGTTTTTGGAAAATTAAGGCACTTTTCGGAAGCCCTCACAGAGCAGCGTGTACCCCCGTGGTGCGTTCTGGGTGCCACTGGCTGCCAGCTTGGCCCAGCAGGTGCTGATTCTTGGTGTCACTTTCAAAGCAGTAGCTTCTGGTGGTTCTTTTCTCATAACAGCTTTAAGGAGATGTAAAGTAGTTTCAGTTTGTTAAAAATGGGTTCCCCATCACCACTATCTCCAGAACTTTTTCATCACCTGTAAAAAGCAGGTGATGAAAAGTGATCACCCAGTTGCAGTCACACCCGAGCCCAGGACGGCCGGTCTCCTGCCTCCTATGCCTGGGGTATGCAGCTCTGGACATGTCCTGTGGGTGGCCCTGTGTGCCTGCTGCTTTCCCGCACTGGATCCGTGTCACCTAGTGCCCTTGTTCTGACACATTTCTGGATTTTGTGTGAGTTTGTTGCTTTACTAGTCCAAAATGTCACTGTTACCTACATGGGAATCTTGACGGGGTAAGCAGGCTGTAGTTTTGCCTCATGCCAGGCACCATGGGTGGAACAGTGAGGTCGTGCTGGCTGGGCCAGCTCCTCCTGAGCGTGCTCCTGCCCGCCGGCCCCTTTCCAGGTGGAGGAGGCTGACGACTGGCTGCGCTATGGCAACCCCTGGGAGAAGGCTCGACCTGAGTACATGCTTCCTGTGCACTTCTACGGGCGTGTGGAGCACACACCTGATGGCGTGAAGTGGCTGGACACACAGGTACCTGGGCACTGAGGGTGCAGCAGGGTGGGTCGGGCTGCCCGGGCTCGTGGACACACAGGTACCTGAGCACGGAGGGTGCAGCGGGGTGGGTCGGGGTGCCCAGGCTCGTGGACACACAGGTACCTGGGCACGGAGGGTGCAGCGGGGTGGGTCGGGCTGCCCGGGCTCGTTTGTTATCCCCTTGACTTCTTTAGGGGCAGAGGGAGGGGTGACTGCTTCCCTGGGGACATAATTGAGGGTCAGAGGCAGGGACCATTTTATTCTTCCTCCTATACCCAGTTCTTACCCCTTGGCAGGCCAGCCCAGCAGTGGGGCCCTGCCCACAGCAGTGGGAAAGTGTGTTAAGCGCCAGCTATGTGGCGTAGCAGGAACTGTGTAGGGGTGGAGATCTGCAGCCAGGCATGTTCTCTGGCTGCCTGATGACACACCTGTCACTGAAGGACAAGCAGAGAGCACTCCTGTGGGATGAGGGCACTGCCCCCTAGGTTGGACGCCCGCAGCTCCCCAGAGCATACTGTGTGCCATTCACTGCCTGCAGAGCCTGGCACAGGTCCCAGCAGCAAGAAGCCACAGTGTGGGAGGCACATGCAGGCAGAATCTGGGCATAGGTGTCGGGGAGCCAGCAGCAGAGCCAGGAGGAGGCACTGAGACCTGGTCACCCTGCTATGCAGGGAGGGAGCATGATGGGAGTGGTCCTTATGAAATGTACTTTTAAACGTGGACTACAGCAGCTGGAGCTCTGTCCCACAGGCCAAAGAGGCATGAGAAAGTTTGTTTCCTTTGAAAAAACAGAGAAGGGCCCAGTGCTGTTGGCTGTCCACAGGGGATGAGGAGGACTGCGTGGACATTCTGAGCAGGATGCAAGGAAGGCCTTGAAGGCCGGCCTGGTGGGGACAATGCTGGGGTGTTCTGCCTCCGACTTCATATTCACTGTAGAATATGGACTATAGAATATGGGCTGTAGGAGTGTGAGACAGGGCAGTTGGAAGGAGACGGGAAGGGGAAGGTGACACTGGGACTGCAGTCTTGGTGGCCCCAGGCACAGTCCTGTGACTCTCTGTAACATGGACACAGCTGTGCCCTTGTGAATCATAAGCAGCTGGCATGTAGGAGAGCCTGGGGACCACAGTGACCTCAGGTCGGGGCACCTATACAGAGGTGTTGCCTTTGGTCAGATGGGACCATGAAGCTGTCAGGGAGGGAGCATGCTGGCCTGGGGGAAGGACACAGCGGACATGCTGTGGGGTGTTGAGAGTGGCAGAGGACACTCCAGGCCTTCTGTGGGGCTGCTGTGGGGCATCGAGGGTGGCAGAGGACACTCCAGGCCTTCTGTGTGGATGCTGTGCGGTGTTGAGGGTGGCAGAGGAGACGCCAGGCTTTCTATGGAGCTGCTGTGGGGCGTCGAGGGTGACAGAGGACACTCCAGGCCTTCTGTGGGGCTGCTGTGGGGCATCAAGGGTGGCAGAGGAGACTCCAGGCCTTCTGTGTGGATGCTGTGGGGCGTTGAGGGTGGCAGAGGAGACTCCAGGCCTTCTGTGTGGATGCTGTGG